ATTATATTAAATTAAGTCGAAAAATTAAATTTAGTAAAATAATATAGCTATTCAAAAATTAACTATTTTCAGGTAATTTTTTATTAATAGACTAATTTAAATAAAAAACTAAAAAAAGAAATACTTTTTAAAAGAATATTTTTTCGAATTAAAAAAGTACAGCTTAAGATAAATGCTTTTTATCTTAATAATTAGATTCGAAAAGAATTATTTTAAGAAAAGTTTTTAAATATTAAAATAAAAATTATTATTTGCTAACTTTATTTAGAGATTTAATATTAAAATAATGGGAAATAAAGATATATTTTGGAAAAGCTTAGAGAACGTTCATATCGAATTTCAACTTCGATAATATAAAATAATTAAATGGTGAAAAATATTTTGAGTTTTTTACGTAAAAATTAAAGTTTTTTATAGATAATCCAAATACATGTCCTTTTGAAAATTATTAAGAGTTTTTATAAAGATAAAATAAAAACTTTAGTAAAATAATATATAATAAAATAAACAAATTAGAAAAGTAAATATATAAACATATTTTATATATCTTTATATTAAATATTATTTTTTATAAAAATAGCCGAAATTATTCTATTTAGACATAATAAAATCGGAATAAAAATAAAAATTATTTTCTAAAAAAGTTAAGAAATATAATAAAAAAAAATATGTAAAAAATACACGAATTATAAAAATAGGAATTTTACTACGTGTTTTAATCAAAGAAAAGCAAATTTGATTTATTTTTAGTTTATTTAAAGCGTTTAACTGATTTATAAGATTAAAATTTTAAATAATTTAATTTTAATTAAAAATTTTTAAAAGTGAATTTATTTATAGAATTATACCTATGGTCTAACATATTTTAAATAGACTATAATTTAGAGTATAATCATATAATTTTAGGAAATTAAAATTTGGAATTAATTGAAAGTTATATATCAAAAGTATTTAAATTTTAATAGAATTAAATGTTTAATATGAATGTTAGTATAAACTTAAAGCCATTATATGAATTGGATAATACTAAATAAAATAACCAGAATTTGTTGAGGCAATTAAGTAATTAAAAAAATAAAAAATTTAAATTTATATTTTATATATAGTTTACATAATGAATATTAAAATATGTTAAATCATAGTATTGGGTTTATTCCTTACAAGTATACAACTTTATTTACAATTAATTTAAGAATCTAAAATTTACTAAGCTAAAATATAAAATGTGTAGATATTAATTTAAGAGAAATTGTAAATGTTTATATTGGTTAAGGATATTTTTAATATTCATCAGATTATTAACAATCTAAGATTTTATATAGTGATTTAATCAATATAAGTTAATATATATTTATAAAGGTGGCTAATGGTAGTTTTATGGATTTAATAGAAAGTGATATTTAGTAAGTTACTAATAGCAGAAAATCTAATTTTATATCCTAAAACAGTTAATTAAATATTTTTTCTATGTAAAAATAAATCTAGAATAAACTTATGTTTCATAATATTGATATATATAATATAATTTAAATTGATTATATTGTCGATTTAAAATAAAAGCTTATTGTATCTGCTTTTATGTTTTAAAGAGATAATAGCTTTAAGTTTATTTTGAGAAAAGTAGGGACTAATTAATCAATTACTATATTTAAGAATATTAATGATTTTAATCAATTTAAATTTATTTAATTTTTAATTAAATATAAAGATATACATAAAAAGAATTATAATTAAACTAATTAATTTGATAAAAAATTAACTATTATATCAATATATTTAATAATATTTAATTCCTAAAGAAAAAGGAAAAGCATGAGTATGTTATTTTTAATTAAACACTTAATAGATTCTTCAAAATATAAATATTTATAATAAATTTTTTATATAAATTGTAAATATATATTAATTTAAAAATATAATTATATTATAATTTAATTTTTTTTTTTTAATAAATAACTTTGTTTATTATTTAAGTTTACCTGTTTAAATATATACATGTAATATACAATATAATAATAGAAACCTTCTTTGTTCTGATTTTTATATTAGAGCCTACAAGTATAAATTTATTTTTAATTAAATAAAATTCAAAATATTTAATTTATTTTATAAATTAAATTTTAAAATACAAAAAATAGGAATATTTATAGAATACTTAAAAAAATAAAAAAATAAAAATAAAGAAGAATTTTAAAATATCAAATAATGAATCAAATAATTCTTAAATAAGAATAAATTTACAATTTGCTTGAATAAAAGTTAAATTTTGATAAATGGACTGAATAAGAACTTGATATAAGACAATATTTAAAAGAAACTGAAACAAAACTTAATTTATCTTATATTTAGTAAAGGATGGATAAATAAGATTAAGATAATGATCTTTAAAGTTTATTTTAATTTTTTTTTGTTAATTTTAATATTATTTTATTCTATTATAAATAAAATATATTTAAGCTGAGTTACAATTGGCGATTTAGGAAATATAATAGATAGAAGAAAATTTAAGATTAACTATGGATATTAACAGTAATTTTTAAATATTAAAATAATTAAAAATTATTTATAGATTTAGTATTAGAAAAAATCAATATATAAAAAGATGTGTTTGTAGAATAGATTGATGATCTTATAAAATAAAATGATTAAATTTCGAAAGAGTTAAATTTTAAGGAATAATGTTGTTTTGAGTATCAGGTTTAATATTTATTATTTAAAAAAATAAATATTAAAAATAGAGGCGTTTGCAAGAATTAACAGAATAAAACAAAGAACTTATAAATGAACATGTAACATTAGAGAAATCAAAGATATAAATGATTGAAAAAAGTTCAGAATTAGAAAAATAAATATCATAATCGGTACAATAATCAGAAGAATTTGTAAAAAAAAAAAATTATTTAAAAATATTTAAAAATATTATTAATTTAAAATAAAAAATAGAAAGTAAAAAATGAAGACTTTATTTAAAAATTTGAATATTTACAATCGTAATTAGATTATGAAAAATAAGTAAACTTAAATTTATATAAAAAAGTTTTAGATTAAGAGACTATTTATTAAAAAAAAATTGATTATTTAAATGAATAATTATATACTACAACTTAAATTAATGAAAGTATTTTAAAAATAACAGTAAATTTATTATATTTTATTAAAAATAATAAAATAGGATAAGATTAATAAATAAAAGTCTTAAAATAAAAACTAAAAGAAGATAATTTCTAAGTTAGATAATTGAAGAATGAAACCGAATAATTAGAATATTAGATTGTTAATTAATAATCCAGATTATAACTATAATCAACAAATCTCATCGAATAAGAAGGTTTAATATAAAAACCAAAATTATAGAAAAATTCATCAGCTGTAGTAGAAAATAATGACAATAGTATTATTTAAGAAAAACCTTAAGAAAGTAAAATAAATTATATGTATTTATTGTTAAAAAAAAAGAAGAAAATAGTTTACTTGTAGATATTAATGGATAATTAAAAATAAATTAAATTAATAATAGTCTATAAAAAATTCCAAATATTTAAGATTCTGATAGTTAAACAAGAGATTAACAATAATAATATACATTATAACATTATCTAAAAAAAACTTTGAAAAAATAAAATTATTCAAAGAGTGAAAATAAATTCAAAAATTCGATTGAAGAAGTAGAGGAAGAAAAAAATGATATGAATGATGTTAAACCTTTTTCAGATGATTAAGAAAATTAATTTGACGGTTTTAGTTATAAATCTGATTTTTTATAGGATGATGGAGCTGATTTTAATTAGTTTAATAATATCAATATTAATAATGAGAATAATATAAATTTAGTTAATATTTAAAATGATGAAAATAAAAATAAAAATAATTAAAAAATAAATAGAGAAAAGCTACACTTTAAAAGCTGTATTTGTGTTTTGGATAATATAAATTAATAAGTTGAAAAAAAAATGATATTTAATAAAAAAAAATAGTGATTAAATAATAAAAAAAATAAAAAATAAAAGCATGTAATTTAGAATACAAAATAAAAATAGTATTTATTAAATAAATAACAAATAATAAAAATAATATTTATATGTAACTGAATCTGAGTATGAATAATAAAAAGGTAAATGTATTTCAATGAATAATTCAATATAGAAAAATAAACTAATTCTTGAATGTGAAACAGAATAGAATGCTAGTTTGGTTGAAGAATTTAAATTTAATTAACATTTGTAAACAAAGAAAATAAAAGAAATAAAATATGAAGAAAATATAAATAATTAATAATGTAGTGAATATAATTAAAATTATTAATTAGAAAATTTGCATGAATAATAAGATAATTTGAATATTTAATAAGAAAATTTACATAATTAATAAGAAAATTAAGAATCATAAGCACAAAAATAATAAGAACAACAATAATTATTATTAAAAATTGATATTTAATAAATTAATTATAAGAATGAATAAATATAATATCACTCACCCTTTATTAATAATATAAAAATTAATGAATATTAAAGTTATAATGATATTAATAGTGATTTTTAAAAAAATACAAAAATAAAATGTTCACCTTTTAATAAATAAATAAAAACAGATCCTTATTATGTAAAAAATAATATAAATATATAATTATTTTATTTAATATAAAAAGGATTTCTTTGTATTAACAGCTTAAGTAGTAAAACTTAATTCTTAATATTTTGATGAAATATACAATATTGATGCTAAACCTTTTTATGATGAAATATAAAAATAATAAATCCCTTACCATAAATGGTAGACATATTTATAAGAATAATTTGAAAAAATAAGATTGAAAATTAAAATGAAAAAAATAAATAAAATAAATTTATCAAAAATATCGAATTGATAATATATTAAGATATATTTTTTATATATATATATATATATATCATTTATTATATATTTTAATTTTATATATATATAATATTTAAAAATTAAAATTTTCTAGATTTTATTTTATTATTTTAAAAATTAAATTTTCAATATGTTTTTTTTAATCTTACTACCCAATTCGCATGATCATAGAAATTATCTACAATTTAACAATTTTTAATATTTTCTATAATAAGTTATTCAATTTCTCCTTTTTTAAAAACATGATAATATCTTTTATAAACAACACTTTATTTGGCTTCATTAATCTAAATATCTGTATTAGGCTTTTCTTCCCCTGAAATAATTTTTTCATTTTCATATTTATTCTATAAATTCCAAGGAACAAAAACATCTTATTCAGTAAAGCTTTTTTCTGTTTATTCAAAAGCCCAAACATATATAATAACTTCTCCTCCAATTTTAAGTATTCTTAATATTTCTTTAATTGCATGAACACGTAATTTACTTTATTATATTAAAAAAAAAAAAATTATCTAAAATAATACGGAGTAGAAAAATGGTGAATAACAGCAATAGAAATAGCATTATCAAATTTTCCAGAAACTAAAGGTAATTTTAAAGAATCTGCACTAAAAACTTACACATCTTAATTTTTTTCTTTAGCAATATATATTAAATTATGGCTTCTATCAGTTCCTATCATAAAAATATCTCCATTATTTGCATTTAAATATTTTCCATTTCCGCATCCTTTTTATATTTAAAATATTTAATTTAACAAAAATTAAAAGAAATACCAATATCAGCCACAAGTGATCCAGTAGGTAAAGATTTAAGAAACTCTTCAATTTTAGGCCATGGTTTATATCTTGTATGGGAAAAATGAGGTGCTATTTTATCATAAACTTCATAGACATATTTTTATTCTAAATCTGTATGCTTATTATTTGCTTATCCTTATACATTTTAAATTAATTTTAACTGTTCTTCATTTTTTGGTAAAACTATTTTTGTAGAGTCTTCTTTGGCATGATAATCTTTTGCAGAAAGGGGATTGTTTTGCTTAATGTTTACAGAATCGAAACCTTGGTCATCACAAATGAATGGAAATTCACATTTGCAAGGATTATTTTTTAAAGAACGGAAAGTTAATGTTATTCTTCTTTTTCTGAAAATTATTTCATTATTTACTTTATCTAGCTTTCTATTAGATATACTTTAATAACATGTAAAACGGGCTTCTTTGCACAAAATTAATAATGAACGTGGAGGTACATATAATTCTAATTCTAAATTCCTAAGATTACTTCTAAATGATATTACTATTCCTGAATTTAATGATAAAATAGCTATTTTCTCTCCGATTGTATTATGTTAATCTAACTAGGGTAAAAGAGTGTCGCCAGGATAAAAATCTGAAATTGTTAATGAATCAAAGTTATTTTATTGAGATTCTTTTTCTAATAAAGAATTTACTTTTTATGTAGTCTATGTAAGGAAATATGGAAAATCAACTTTTTTCTATTTTATTTTTTTGAAAAAAATTATATCATATTATTTATATAAATTACATTATTTTTATTAATAGTATTGATTCCAAATAGATATTCGTATCCATATAGTTAATATTTTTTTTAGCTAATTTAATCCATTCTTATTTATCGATATTTTGAATAAGAACTAATTCTTCCTCTTCGCTTATGAAATCTTAAATTAAATTAAATCCTTCTATAGGTAATTATATAGTATCTACAAGTGCGTTTTAATATTCCTCTTTTGTTTTTGTATTTGCAATTATTTAGTTGAGTGTTAAATTTGTAAATGCGAAAAATGTGGGTCGGATTTTTTTAACATAATCAATTTATCGAAATATTAAGTCTTCGATCTTTTCGCTTTCTTAAATTAATAAATTTGCCTATTCTTAATTTTCAAATTCTATTAGGGCATATGAGAAACCTGGAAATATATGGAGATTGTTTTTATTAGAGTATTTATTTAATAATTATTTTAATGAGTTATAATCTTATTGATCTCCTATTCCATTATGAATTATTAAAATGTTTCTTGAAATTATCTCAGAAATTAGTTGATTTTTAGTTTTTTATTCTATTTAAACAATCAATTCTAAACCTTTTGTATATTTCTTTTTTAAATCATAAATTTTATTTTTTTCAGCCCTCAATTCTTTTTTACTTTAAATATTTTAATCTGATGCAATGTTTTCTAATTAAAGATTATATTCTAAATTATCCATTTTATTAAAATTTATAAATGATTTATAAAAACTAAATTTAGAATAAAAATTTTAATCTTATTTTAATATTAATTTAGGTAATAATTTGTTTTATACTTTTTTTTAAAAAAAAAACATTTTACATATAATATATTTATATATAAATATTATTTTTATATATTTATTATGATTGCATTTTTTGTATAGTTTAATTTAAAAATTATTAATTTTTTAATCTATACAATAATAAAAATGAAAATGCAAATAATTTTATATTAATCCAATATATAAATATTCATATTTTTATATATTAAGATAATATATTTAATTAATCTATTTTATATATTTTTTAATGAAACTATATTATATAATAATTTTTTTTAAATTATAATATAAATAAAAAATTAATTTTAAAAATCCATTAAAAATGTAAAACAAAGTTAACGATGCTAAATCAATATTAATAAAGATACTTTTTGTATCAATTTTTATTGTAGGCATTTTTTCTGCATGTTGGAATATCTATCTTATATAGTAAGAATGTGGAAATCCTTATATTTTTATGATAGTAAGTGGTATACTTTTAAGTTTTATTAGTGTAATATTGTTTTATTTCGAAGTAATGTGGAAGAAATTAGTCATTCTTTCATTATTAGCAATTGTTTTTGGTATAAGTATTGGATCTTTTTTTATGATTACTAAAATAAATGACCAAATTATTTAAGGAGTTTAATATTGCTATAGATAACCTAAATACGTTTCAGATAGTAGGTTAGATTTTGGATAATTACATAAGGTTAATGCTGATTTATCTATATCTATTTGTATTATCTAAGGAATTTTCAGCATTTTTTTGACAGGTATATTAGCATTCTGTTCTTATAAACTTTTGAAGTAAAATGCTGATTTAAATACTAGTGCTTTAGAATATTTAATATGAAATCTTTATCAAATAAAATATATATTTTTTTTTTTTTGGAAAAATTAAATTTAATTATTAATTTCTCTTTTAAATAAAAATATCATAATATGGGTGATTTATAAAAAGAAAAATAAATTATTATTTAATTTAATTGATAAATATATACATATATATATATATAAAATACTAAATTTAAAAAATGCAAGAAGCAGAAAAAATTTATTTGTAAAATTTGTAAGGAAAAATATTCACTTTTAACAAAAAAATACTTAATTTTAGTAATTTATTAGAATAATTATATTTAGAATAATATGAATAATCTAATGTAATTAATTTAATAAATTTAAACGAATTTTAAATTGAATTTGTTAAAAATTATTTTGAAATACATTAATATTAAGTTGATACTGAATCTTATAAAAAAATTGTAATTTCTAATGTATTAAACTAAAATCTGCAAAATTAATAAGATATTGAAATATTTTAAAAACTAAATGATGAATAATTAAATAGTGTATTAAATTGTGCATCTTATTTGTAAATTGAACATTTATAAAATTTATGTTTGATTGCTATTGCAGTTAAAGTTTATGTAAAATATGATGATTTATCACTTAATGATTTTAAAAAAATAATAACATAGAAGAAGAATTAAATGAATAAACTATTTAAACAATTAAAAACGAATTTCCTTGGGCTTTTTAATGATTTATATAATATTTATTATAAAATTGTATATATATTTATGAATGTTAAATAAAGAAAATATATAAATATAGCATTATTTTTTCTTATTTATAAATAATTATGTAACAAAATAATAAAAAATCACTAAGCTTATATAACTTAATTGTCAAATAAAATATTTATTAAAAATATTTTAAATAAAATAAAATATATATATATATGTATTTGAAAGTATTTTTTTTTAATAAATGTAATATAAATAAAAAAATTATATACATATAAATATATATAAATTTTTATTTTTATATTATATATTTAAATTTAATACGTTTAATTCTAATATTATTAAATTTTTTTTTAAAATAATATTTTTAAATTTTTACTTCTAAAATATTCAATTATTCAAATTTTAATTTAATAATTATTTATATTTAAAAAATAAAATGGTGATATATTTGTGTTTTTATTTTAACAATAGATTACAATTTTTTTGTATTTATTAAAATAATTTAATATCTTTAAAATTTAATAAATATAATATACTATTATATAAAATATATAATTATTAAATAAATATACATAAACACAAAAAATAATTATTGACACTAATGATTAATAAAAAATAAAATTAAATAAAAATAGAAAAATTAAATTCTAAACTTTGTATTTTATAAATAAATATACTCCTAATAATTATCAAAAATTAAAATATAAAATTTAAAATATTAATCCCTATCAATATAAACATTAAAATAAGATTTAATATCTTCTTTAAATTAAAATAATAATAGAAAATTTAAATAGCTTTATTATTTTTCATATTTTTAAGAAATATATTATATAAAAATATAAGTAGATAATTAATTAGAATATTTTCAACCGATTCGTAATTAAAAAATTATTTATTTATTATGTTTTGAATTAGTTAAACAATCTATTTAAAGTAATATATATCAGCATGTTTGATTATAGTATATGCAAAATATATAGAAAAAAATGAATCCTAAGATATAAACTTTTTATGAAATTATTTATGCTTTTGATAATAGTTAAAATAAAATATTAGCCAGCCTATCATTATTATGAGATGGGGGGCAAGTCTTATACTAATATTTACTTTGTAAATTAAAATCACATTTTAAGTTATTTCGAAGGTTAAAGTGGATTTAATTATATGAACTATTTAAACGGAATTAATTATAATTCAGAAATAAAACATAAGAAATTGATTATAATTTCAAAAATAATATAAAAGATATATAAAAAGATAATAATTTGGTTGTTTTTTTTTTTAAAAAAAAATAGATTGCTATTTTTAATAAGAAAAAAGAATCTATTTGAATTAATAAAATAATGAAGGAATCGTTTATAAATTTTTAACTAATTATTTGATAATAGAATAATTATGTTTCTTTTAGACTTAATATAATTAATGAAAAAATGAAATTTAATTAAATTAAAAAAATCACTTATACATATATAAATATTTTTCATAATTTTTTATTAAAAACATAATTAACATAAAAAAATGGAAAAAGACCTATTTTTTTAAATTGATATATTTTTAAAAAATATATCATATATTTTTAATTATTTTTGTTTAATTATTTACAATAATTTTATATTTTAATTTTTTTTAAAAAAATCTTCTTAATTATTTTTATATACATTTATAAAAAAAAGGCAAATGCAATAATCTAAATTAAACATTGTTTCTAAATTTGGATTAAAAGGTGTTTCTGGAAGATATTTAAATTCCAAAATATCTGATTAAAAGACAAATAAATTTTATATTTTTGTTGGAACAGATAAAACTATTTATTAATTTACTATTGATATAGATGTAAAAAAATAAAATATATATTTAAAAACATAAAAAAAGAAAAATAATGAAGATAAATAAAAACATTAACCTTAATAATAATCATAAACATATTAAATAGAAGAATTTAAAAAAATAGAATAAAACAATAATTTGGTATTTAATTGTTTACATACTTTGACGTATGAGAATAATGTTTGCATATTCGCTGGATATGTTGAAGCAAACAAATTATAATCTGAACTAAATGCTTATTCTTTACATAAAACTTAAATTTATTCAAATAATAACATATTTAATGAAGCGAAAATAAATATACTTAATATAAAATCAATAAAATAACATAGTAACATATTATTGTTTATATCAGCATCTGATAATAGTGTTAGGGTAATAATTAAAATTAGTAGATAATATATATCCTATAATTTTTAATTTTAAATATTAGATATTTAAAATTGTTAAAAAAAGAAATAGGAATATTGGTTCGATTTAAATTCAATACATAAATTTTAATTTAATGAACTCATTATAGATTTTGATATGAAATTTATTTTTTCAAATGAACAGTGCATACACAATTATGATTAAAACTTGAATAAAATGTCGTTAGATGATAATGAAAATAATTATAAAAATATTAAAAAGTAGCCTTATATTATTCAATAAGTAATAAAATAATCATCATTTACAAGCTTAGAAATATCAGGAAATTAAAATTTATATGAAAAACAGCTTTAAGTAAATGCAAATAGTCCAATTAAAGCACAAGAAGAGTAATATTAATAAAGCCCAAAATCAAATACTAATTTATAATACTCTTTAACTAATATAGAAAATTTCAATGATGGTGGTACAATGTAATAAGATATAAATTAGGATTAATTAGAAGAATTTTATATTATTTTAGCAGACTTAGATGGACTTATTATTCTTAAAAAATTTTTGATTAGTTAAAACGGACTTTTAGGCGAATAATTTAAAAAAGAAGTTTATAGTCAAGAAATAGATTTGGGAATTGCAAATAGTTACTGTAGATTTATAAAATAAACCAATTAAAGAATGTATCCGTCTTTTGAAACTCAACCCCCAAATATTTTATCTAAAAAGCAATAAAAAAAAAACAAAAGCAAAAACAATAAGAAATAACAATTGAGGAAGTTTAAAAAGATGTTAATAATTAAATTTCTTAAGTAAATCTTAATTTAATAGTTACAAACTTAATGGGGGATATTATTTAATTTTAAAATATTCCATATGAAGGTTTAAAAAAAGCTAATTTGTTTCCAACTATTGATGATTGTTCAAAGTCAGGTGTAACAGGATTATGTATAAAATAATAATTTGATGATAGAATTGAATTAGTTGCAAGCTATTTTGATGGAAGTATTGTATTTTTTGATTCTAATATATATGAACCTTAATGGTCTTTGTATTTAAGTTAGTCTTTGAATTCTAATCATTACGGAGTTTACTTTATTAATGCTATGGATAGAGATCTTATTCTGTTAATTTCAGATGATACTGTTGAAATTTGTGAGTTAAATCAATATCATATTAACTGATTATGGATAAATATAAATTATTTTAAATAATACGTAAAAAATAGTAGATTTTGTAATTAAGCTAATTTAAATATAATAATATTACATATTATTTAAGCAATTTATTATATTATTTTTTTTTTCTTCAATTTACTTTAAATAATAATTTTAAATTTTCGATAAAAAAAATGATATTTTTTTCTTTTTGATAATCTTTCTTCTTTCTTTATATATATAATAATTGATAAATTGTTCATAATTATTAATTATATCAATAATTATAATATATATATATATGAATTCATAAGTTTTATTTCTTTTTCAATAATTTTTTTTTATTTATTTTATAGTTCATACATTTTAAATTTAACTTAAATTTAGAAAAAAAAGAAAAAAAAAAAGTTAAAATAAAATAATATATAATGACTTAAGGTATTTATTTTCGTAAATTTATGTGTTTAAATGAATAATAAATTTTAAAGTTTTTTATTTTGGAAATGAAAAAATAAGGCCTACAGTTTATGAAGACTATACTGATATGTTTATTTTTTTAATAAACAAAAAACATTAATTCAAAAATTAAATAGAATTAAAAAAATATCATTTAGAGGAAAAGATATTACTAATTTCGAAACTGAACAAGAAAATAAAGTATTTGCAGATTACATTTAAATGATAAAATTTATAGAAGATAAAGATTTATGTTTTAAATAGGTTACATGTGGTAAAAATACTGTTTAATTATTAGATGCTCATGATGAGTTGTGGATTTTTGGTGAAGGAAATGAAGGATAATTAGGAATAAATATTAAAAAAGAGATATTAAAATAACCTTTTAATTTAAGCAGATTTTAAAATAGATATTTTATTTAAATTTCTTCTTATTCAACACATACACTTGCTATTTCATGTTAATTTTACTATTTTTTTTATTTTAATTAATTTATAGCTACATTCAAACTTTATTCATGGGGAAATACATAATATGGATGCATGGGTAGTTTAATATAAGAAAATAATATTTTATATCCAGAGAAAATTAAAAAATCTAAATTTGAAGAATATATATCAGAAGAATAATATAGGTTTTTTTATTTAAAATAAAAATAAATCTAAAACCATACTTTTTCTATTTTTTTAGTTAAATCAAATTCACTCATATTGCTGCAAGTGAAAACTTTTCTTTAGTAGCAATTGATAATTAATATTTATTTTCGTTTGGAAAAGAAGATAGATGTAATTTAATTTTTATTTTTTTCAATGTATTGTTATTATATTTCTTTTTATAACAGCTAGATTAGGATTGGGATAATTTAATATAAATTATACAGACAAAGTCTACTTAGTTTAACTTCCGTTTTCTGTAGTTTTTTTTATTTTATTTTTTTTAAAAAAAAAAGAATATAATTATAAAAGGGATAGCATGTGGAAAAAATCATTGCTTGTTATGGGATTCGGATGGGTCTATATATTCATGGGGAGATGGCTAAGATGGGAAATTGGGCCATTCAAGTTTTAAAGGTGAATACAATTATATGATACCTAATCCTTAAAAAGTTTATGAAAAAAATATTTTTTATATAAAATATTTTTTAAGATTAAAGCCTTGGAAGACTAGAAAATAATATAGGCTAGCTGTGGAGAAAGACACAGTTGTGCAATAAATTTTAAAGGAGAAATATATTCATGGGGCAAAACAATTTATATAAAAGAAAAAAAATAATCTGGTTTAAAAATAGTAAATAAATTTTGTAACTTTTTTATGACATATTTATTAGGATTATTTAAGACCTAAAAAACTTTAATTTTGTGTAAAATCTAATAATAATATATAAATTGGAACTCATGCAATTAAAATATCAAGCTTTGGATACTCTAATGCTGTTATTGATGATAAAGGATATTTATATACATGGGGAGAAAAGTCAATATTTTTTTATTTATTTATTTTATTTTATTAAAAAAAAAGTGTAAATAATTCTTTAGGCCATAATACTACAAAAGAGTATAACTATCCTTTATGCATAGAAGAATTAATAAACGAAAAATGTGTAGACGTTGCATGTGGAGATTAATTCATGGTTGTTATTTGTTGCGAAAAATAGAATAAGTTAGCAATTAATAACATAAAATAGTTTTGTTAACGAATATTAGAAAATGCTTAATAAAAATCAATATTAATAAAATAATTTTATTCTAAAAAAATGGACAAAAAAAAAATTTTAAATTTAAAGAGTTTAGACCAAAAAGATTTACAGTAAGCGTTATTTTAAAAAAGTGTTTCTTAAAGTTAATTTTTGAGATCATTTTCAAATTCTTAAAGATAAGATTAAAATCCTAAAAAAATAAAAAAGTTTGTTTTATAGAAAAAATAATCTTAATAACTTTAAAATAATAAAAGTAATAAATGTAATAATTTAAATAAATTAAATAAATAAAATTAAAATACGAATGCAAGTAATATGATGTTTAAAAAATTTAAAACATAATAAGATGAAATGAGTGATATTAAAAAGTAATTTATATAACTATTTTTATTTTATATTTTTAAATTTAAAAGAGAAATTATTATTGATGAAGTCTCATAAAAAATAAAAATTCATTAAGATGAATTTGAATATCATGATTAATTGAAATAAATAGAAATAAATAAAAATCTCAAAAATGATCCCCGAATTTATAGAACTTAGAAACCTAAAGGAGTTTTAGTTGATGGTATATTTAAAGAATAAATAGATTTAATTTACAAGGAATATTAGTTGAGTTCAAGAAAATAAAATAATGACAACCTTTTAAAAAATATAAGAGAAAAAGATGATGATTTTTTAAAATAAAGAGTAAAAATAGATAATTCAATAAAAAAAAAATACTAAGAAGTAATAAAAGATGGTACGCTGTTAAACCTAAATAAATAAGAAAAATAATATTTATAAGATTTAAAAAAAGATCAAACTTAAACGATTGAATAGAGTATAAGTTAAAAATAAGTAGGCTAATAGGATAGTGGATAAATAATATTTAATAATACATAAAGTAGTTTATAATACAGCAAATTAAATAATTATAATAAAATTAATTTCACGAATATTCCTGAAGGAGATTTTCTAAAAAAATAGAGATTCAAAAGTAATTATATATTAAAGTAATAAAAGCTAGAACATATAAAGAATAACTCTATGTTAAGATAATATAAAACATAAAGGGCAATTAATAAGAAAAAGGAAATTGAAAACGGTAAAAGAATCGAATCAGAGAATAAAAGATAATTAATATTATAGAAAGGCATATAATTTTAAAATATGATTTAATCTGAGAAAAAAATCTAATAAAATTAAGATTCTATAAGATATAATTGGCTAGTTTATTTATAAACAGAAATGATTTGTTCTGCTTTATACAATTTGAATTAAATTTATTAGGATTATTTAAGAATTACTTTTTTTTAGAAAAGCAGAGTTAAAAAAATATAATTTCATGTAAGGTAATATTTAGTTAAGAAAAATATCGTTTTATTATCACATAAGTAAATAAATTTAATTAAATATATTATCAAAGTTTGGTAAGACAAAAAATTTATTCAAAAGAAAATATAATCAGCTAAATTAATAGTATTACATGCTTTGATATAAAAGATAAAGAGAAAAGTTTTTATAAAGTTAACTATTAAAAGAAATACAGTTATTTATATATAAAACTTTATTTAATGGTCCCTGACCACTCTTTAATATTATAAAAGAACTTTATGTTAAATTTGGGATAGCCATATATTGTTTTAATTCAAATAATAAATATTTTCTATTAATTTAGATAGTAAACATGATTTCTATATTCAAAAATTTTAAAAGCTATATGGATTATATGCTTTGTAAAAAAATAGCATTAATAGCAATAATAATTCTCTGGTTTCTAATTAAACCCAGATGTCTCAATTAGATACCAAAAAAACAAGATCAATATCTACAGTATTAATAAATGCTAATGAATTTGTTAGTGTGGAAGGAGCAGCTAATAATTTTAGTGATTATTTAAAAAGAAAAAGAAGTAATACTAGAAAAATTTAGTATTTTGACTAGGATAATCACTTTTAGAAAGCTTAAATTGAAGAGCAAAAATAAAGTTTGCAGAATATTATAAATTTAAAAACTTAATAAAGTTCGCCAATTTAAAATATTTTGTGCTAATTGTAAAAATATAAATTATATATTTTGGGAATTTTTTTCAAATAAAAAAATAAGAAAAATTAAAAGAATTAAATCTGAATAGGAAGATGTATAAAATACTGAAAGTCCAAGTAAAGGGAAAAATGTTATTTTTAAATTTTAAGATGAATAAGAAGAAGAATAATAAAATAAATTATTATAAATAGAGGATGAAGATGAAAAAAATATAATATCAAGAAAATAGAAAAAAGAACATCATTTTAATTTCAGAAATTCTATTCTACCTGTTTCTGCAAATGCTTTTGATATCATATTACCACAAAATTTATAGTTAAAATTAGAATTTTTAAAAATTAACGATGAAAACTTAATGGAGATTGCAACTTAAGCAGAAACTGTTGTAAAGCAGATTATTATTGATCGTATTTTAAAAATAAATATTTAAAGAAATCAAAAAGCAATATTGGAAGTATTAAATATAAATAAATCTATAAAATATTAATTTTTTTATAGTATTAAAAATAGAAAAAAGAATTTATTGATTATAATATCAAATAAATAAATTTAAAAAGAGTTGAATATATGCTCAAAACCAATTAAAATTAATTAAAAAAGCTTTTTAAAATACGGTATATAATATTGCATTATAAAATCAATAAAAATAATTTAAATTAAGAAACATCATTTTTTAAAAAATATATATGTATAAATTAAGAATATTTAAAAAATATTCTTTTAACGTTTTTGAATTTTTTTTTTTTCAAATTATTATTTTTATAAACTTTTTATTAGTAAATATTTCAAGGATCATTTACCTTTTGCAGAATTGATTAATTAAATAGCTGATTAATTGCCAAATGCACCTAAAAAACCTTTATTTAGACTATCTATTCACTCAGAGTACATATTATAATTTTTGACGTTTTTATATTTTTATATCTTTTTATTTTAGAATGTTTAGATAATATTATTATAAATATATTGATTTAATGAAAAAAATAATATATATTTTAGAATAAAACGAAATTATTTAATAATTTAAAGTAAAAGATGAAGAGTTGGATTTAAATATTAAAAAAAATAAAAACATTTAATTATAGAATATATTAAAAAAATTTTAAAATACATGTAATTTTTGAAATAAACAATATGGCATGGCAAACCATAATAATTATCTTTTTTGTATATTATTAATTATATTTTTATATCTCTTATTTTTACTTCATTTTTTAAATATTATTTTTTTTCTGTTAAATTATAATTATTAAAAGTAAAAAGAAGAAGAGAAAAAAATAATAAAGAAAAATAAAAAAATAACAAAAATTGATTAATGTCAAAAAATTATAAATAAACAGAAGAGGATGAATAACCAATCTTCCAGTTTAACATAGACCCTTAAGAATTAGCAAGTCTTTTTGAAATAGATAATATAAGAGACAAAATAAGTTAAAATAAATTAATGGTTTTAGGAGGTGCCCAGGCCATTGTCGATTAACTTTTTTCAAATGTAAAAACCGGAATAAATTCTAAACCTGAAGAGTTACATGAACGAGGAGAATTTTATGGCAAAAACCAGCCTATGCAAAAAAAACTAAAAACATTATGGGAAATGATTTTCGAATGTTTTGAAGATTTAATGCTTTAAATATTATGCATTGCTTCGTTCGTATCAACTACGATAGGGATAATGGAAGACGGCTTAGAAAAGGGTTGGATGGAAGGCGGTACAATATTATTGGCAGTAACAATAATAGTTAGTTTATAATCCGGTAATAATTATGTAAAAGAAAAATAATTCTAAAAGTTAACAGCTAAACGTGAAGAATTATTTGTATAAGTAAATAGAGATGGGAAAGTGAAACAGATAGACTGTAAAGAGTTAGTTGTAGGCGATATTTTACACATTTAAATCGGTGATGTTATGCCTGTGGATGGTATACTTTTAGAAGGAAGTGAAATAACAATGGATGAGTCTAGTATTACAGGAGAAAGTGAAGCTGTAACTAAATGTCCTGCGTTATAAGGAGAAATATAATCGGCAACTTTTTTCCTTATTTCTGGGTCCAAAGTCATGGATGGAAGTGGTTTGTTGCTAGTTTGTACAGTAGGATCGAATACATAATTAGGAAAACTTAAAGAAAAATTACAAGATGAATAACCACCTACTCCATTATAATAAAAACTTGAAACTGTTGCTGAAGATATTGGTATTTATATATTTATTTATTTATTTATTTATTTATTTATTTTAAAAAAGGTAAAATAGGTACAATTGCAGCTGGATTAACTATGATTGCTTTAATTATTCATTTAGTTGTTAATATTATTATTGGAAATCATTGTTTTGCATGCATATCAAGTTTAAAGGTGTTAATTAATAGTTTTTTAATTGCTGTTACTATTGTCGTTGTGGCAGTTCCTGAAGGACTTCCTTTAGCCGTGACTATAGCTTTGGCATTTTCAGTAAATAAAATGAAAGATGAAAATAATTTAGTTAAGTAACTTTCTTCCTGTGAAATTATGGGAGGTGTGACCAATATATTCTCAGATAAAACAGGTTAAATAAATAATTTTAAAAAAAATACAAAAAACAAACTAAAATACAAAGGAACATTGACCTAAAATATAATGACAGTATCGAATATTTATATTGATAATCGAATATATAGAAGAGATTAAATCCGAAGAGATTAAATAGCCTAGAACTTAACAAATTTACTAGCAGAATGTATATGCATAAATTCATCCGCATACCCAAATAAAAATGTACTTACAAATAAATGGATATAAACAGGCAACAAAACTGAATGTGCGTTAATCGAACTTGTTGATTAATTGGGTTTTGGATATTAAGCATTTAGGCCTTCCGATAATATAGTTAGAATTCTTCCTTTTAGCAGTACAAGGAAAAAAATGACTACTGTGTATCGTTATAGTCCTAATTTTTTTAGAATTTATGTAAAAGGAGCTAGTGAGGTAATTTTGGAAAGATGCACGTATATTAAATGTAGAAATGAAAATATGGTATGTGATTTTAATTAGAAAGAAAAAATAAAATCTTAGGTCATTAAAAGATTCGCTGATTAGGCTTTAAGAACGCTTGCATTAGCATATAAAGATATTGAAATTATACCAGGATTAAATGCAGGAAATTTAAATGAAAATTATTTAGAAACTAACCTTACTTTGATAGCTATTGCAGGCATTAAAGATCCTTTAAGGCTGGAAATTCCCAGAGCTATAAAAACATGTTATACAGCTGGAATTAAAGTTAGAATGGTTACTGGAGATAATATTAATACTGCAATTGCGATAGCGAAGGATTGCGGAATTTTAAATGCAGATGCTAAAATTAATAATAGTAGATATATTTTTTTTTTTTTTAAATATATTTTTTTAGATAATTATGAAGTAATGGAAGGAAAAAAATTTAGAGAGTTAGTAGGAGGAATTACTTATGAAAATCCTTATGCATAAAGTATTGAAGATAGAGGAGCTGCCAAGGTCACTAATTTTGATATTTTTTAAAATATAGTTAAAGAATTGAAAGTTTTAGCAAGATCTACTCCTGATGATAAATATGTCCTTGTTACAGGATTAATTTAAATGTAGGAAGTAGTAGCAGTTACTGGAGATGGGTATATAATATATATAATTAAAAAAAAATTAAATAAAAAAATAGTACAAATGATGCTCCTGCGTTGAAAAAAGCAGATGTAGGGTTTGCAATGGGAATAACTGGTACTGAAGTGGCAAAAGAAGCTGCTGGAATAATTTTATTAGATGATAATTTTGCGAGTATCATTACTGCGTGTAAATATGGGAGAAATATATACGATTCTATAAGAAAGTTTATTTAATTTTAATTAACAGTTAATGCTGTTGCATTGTTTATGTGTTTTATGGGTGCTGTAGTTTTAAAATAATCCCCTTTAAATTCAATATAAATGCTTTGGGTAAATTTAATCATGGATACATTTGCTTCTTTGGCACTTTCGACAGAATCTCCTAACGATAATCTCTTACTTAGAAAACCTTATGGAAGAAATGATTCAATAATAACGCCAAATATGTAATATTTTTATTTTTAAATATATTTTATTATATAAATATAGGTGGAGAAATATTTTTGGATAAAGTCTATATTAAATTATAATGTTAAGCTTAATTCTATTTAAATTCCCTAATTGGTTAGGGATTTAAAGCTCTATAGGAATGAAACATTTTACATAAGAAAAATGTGTACATTTTACTATATTTTTTTAGGCTTTTGTTTTAATGTAAGTCTTTAATGAATTTAATGCAAGAAAACTAGAAAAACATGAAATTAATGTCTTTTCTGGATTATTTAATAATGCTTTATTTTGGTTAATTATTATTGGTACTTTTATAATTTAATATTTAATGGTTGAATTTGGTGGAGAATATGTAGGAGTTAGCAAATTAAGCTTATTATAACATTTAATTTGTATAGCTTTAGGGTTAGGATCATTGTTTATGGGAGTTTTAATAAAAATATATCCTAATTCTTTATTTAATAAAATTAAATTATTTAGAGAAGATCCAATGGAACATAAAAAAATGGAAAGATCCTATAGTAGTATTGTAAGAAGAAGATCTTCAATAAGATATAACTGTTAAGGGCTTACAACTAATTAATAAAATATACCGGAATAATAATAATAATAATAATAATAATAATAATAATAATAATAATAATAATAATAATAATGAAATTAACTTTTTACTTATTTATTGTTTATGTTTATGCTTATTTTTTATATTAAATTTAACAGTATTTATTTTTATATGCGTATTTTTTATGAATTGTTGTATTATTTTAATGTTTTAACTTACTTCTTTTTTTTAATTTAAGCATAATTTAATTAAAATTTTGATAAATTTTATATAATATTTTAAATATTTGATTATTAATAATTTTTGTATTTGATAATAATGATTAAAAATAGCAAGTTTTATTCTCCTAAATATATAACTAAAAAAAAAAGTAATTTTATTATATTTAATTAAATTCAATAGAGTTTTTTTATATTATTGGAGTTGAATTTAATTTAAGAAATGTTTAGATAGGAAAAAATAATAAAAATGTTTTTAATCCAATAACTTATCAATGTATATAAAAATAGAATATATAATAATTATTACAATTAATAGAAGATTTATATTTAGATCCAGATTAAATAAAAAGAAAGTATGAAAAATAATAAATGAAAAATATAATTCATAGATAATGTTTTAAAACATAAAAAATAATGCCTACTATGTATCTATTTAAATAAAAAAAATATTAATTAAAAATATTTATTAAAGTGTAAGTAGTGCATATTAATACTAACCACTAAATAATAAAAATTTAAATCCAAGAAGATTTAGAGATGAAAATGGTGATGTTGTTTTGCCAAAATAAAATGTTAAATCAGGGTAACTTTTTATTAACAATATAAAATAAAGAAACTTTTATTTATAGGAAATTTAAAAATATATTCTTTAATAATATTATTTATATGGAAGATGATTATACAAGGTCATAATTTTTATAATCAGAAGAAAAATTTTAATAAATTAAAAAAAATTCATTCTCTTGGACTGTATAAAAATATGAATAAAATTGATCATCCAACATTTTAACCAGATAATGAGACTTATGGAGTAAATGAGAAAGACAAAGTTTATTATTTAATTTTTATATTCAATTATAAATAATTATTTACTATTTTATAAAAATAGCTTTAAGTCCTCAAAGAACAGTATTTGAGAGAATAAGCAATTAAAAATAGAAAAATAATTTAATAATAATAAGGATTTCATGTAAATGAAGAAGAAGAATATAGAAAGTAAAAAACTAAAAGCTCAAGGGTAATTACATTTTTTTAATTTATTATATTATTCATAAGGTTAATGGATTTGATACTAGAATTTTTTCTAGGGTTAAGATATTAAAAAATAAAATTCTAAATTAAAAGAAATGATTTACTAAAAAAAAATATTAAGTATTAAATTTTATAATAATTATATCAATTATTATTTACAATTTTAAAATATATAAATAAAAAACTAGTTATTAGATATTATATTTAATTATACTTTTAGAAAAATTAGAATTAAATATGTAAAATAAAATATAATGAAAAATTTAAATTATATTTTTATAAAATAATATAAACACATTATAAATTATTTTAATTCGATAAATAATAATATTGTATAAAAAAGATTTTAGTAGAAAATTTATACCAAATTAATATTTAAAAAAATAAAATTATATATAAAAAATAAAATATATTGTTTTTTAAATGGCTTCTACAATTTTTCTATACTTATAATAATATTATTAATGTAAAATAATTCCACTTTTTTATAAAATATTATTAAAAATTAATGTTTTTTTAATAAAAATATTAAATATTTTATATAGTTAATCATCAAATATAAAAAATAATATTTATTGTATTAGCATATCATAAAATTAGTTATATGATTAAATATTTAATAATAAAAATATTTTACTAATATTAATAAAAGCAAAATTATTTTTCTTTTGATATCAATGATTTAAGCAAAAATGAATATGACCTATTATTATTTTTATTGATAAATACCAAAAAAAAAATTGAATTAATGTATAAACTTTAAAATTAAAAATATTTTATATATTTTATTTTAATGATTTTGATTAAATTAACTATAAATTATTATAAAAGGTAATTCGAGAGTTTGAAAGTATTGTATAGATACAAATTATAGAAATAACCATCTTATAGATGATTAATAATTAAAAATTAGAATAGTTGTTTAAAATTTATTTATCCATATAATAATGTTTATTATAAACTAATGTATTTAATAAGAAAATAAATTAAAAATAATAAAAAACAGAATAAGTTAAAATAAAATAAAAAAAAATCTATATTTTTGATATATATTTCAAATATATATAATATTTTGTAATAATATAATCATATTTGGTTATTTATTATTTAATATTTAAATATTTTTAATATATTATTATTTACATAATTTTGATTATATATATTATTATTCTTATAAAATTAAATTATAATAAATTATTGAATATTATTTTTGCTTTATTTTTAAATACTTAGAGGTTATATTATTTATTATTTTTTTGAATCTTATATAATGATATTTATTAAATTTTTAAATAAGCAATAAAATAATATTTATGAGTTTAAATTGAAAGAAATAAATATTAAAATATTGCTTTTTATAAAATAATATAAATATATAACTTAGTAAAATAAAAAATAAATTACTAATTTCAAATTTATTATTTTTAATATTTTATAAGCGAATAGTTTAAATAAAATTTTTAACGGTATTATTAATAAACAGTAAAAAAAATAGAAAATGGCTAAATTATAAACAAATATATATAGTACAACATTGCTTTCAAAAAATATAATGCCTAGTATAATAAAAAGATAATTAATAGAAAAAAAAATTAATTAATAATAAAATTATGTAAAATATTTTTTAAATTAAAATAATATATATTTTATAAAAAAAAAATTGTATAATAAAAATATAAATATCAATATTATTTACAATATAAAACTTATAATTATCAAGTTTATATTTCATGTATATTTTATAAAATAAATAATTTACTTTAACTAAATAAATTAATTATTAACATATTAAAATTAAAAATAGTATTTTTCATAATATAATGATTATTTTATCTTTTATTTATAATATAAGTATAAATTATTTTTATAAATTAAATAAAATAATAATATTGTAAAATTTTATATAAATATATTTAATTACAATTTTTAAATATATTTTATATTTAATATGCTAAGAAAACAAAAGAAAAATCAAATACTATAATTTTTAATAAATTTAATATAAAATATGAAAAAAAAATGGGGAATCCTTCTCGCTTTGAGCGTGTCATCCTTCGCGCAGGGGCCATGCTAATCTTCTCTGTATCGTTCCAATTTTAACGGATGACCCTTTCGGGTCCCAAATATATATGAAGTTTATTTAATATATATTATTAAAGTTGTTAAAATTTAAATTTATGGGTTTAATTTATTATTTTATTAAAAAATATTAATTATTAAATAATTACTAATTTTTAAAAATTATTTAATTAATTAAATTTTAACTATTAAATTAATTTTTTTTAAATTTTATTTGAAAATTAAAAAATAAAAAAATGAACTAAAAGAGTGGTATTAATCTTAGTCATAAATTCCATAAATTTTAAAAACTAAAAATTATGGCTTTATACACTCAGCGTAAAGTTGCTTATTCGACGGCAATTAAAAATGTTTCTTTGGAAAATTATAAATTATAATTAATAGATAATAAATCAATATAAATGCTTAATAAATCAGATGCAAGTTAAGCATTTTAAACTAAAGAGATTAAAAAATAAGAGAGTCTAAAAATAAATACAGATATTATTAATATAAATTAATAAAGCATGTTAGAGTTGGAATAATATAAATGTAAGAATATAAATAATAAATATTATTATAATCCGAAAAAATCTACAAATATTAATATTAGTAAAAATAAGCATGCTAAAAGATTCAAAAATACAATATCTACAATCGATAACATAGCAAATACAGAACAAACTACTATTTCAGTTAATTTTTCAAATTATAAAACTTAATATTAATAGGAATAAATTGAATAAAAAAATAGTGTTGATAAATAATATAAAAAAAACTAGCTTTCTATTTATTAAATATTTTAAATGAGAGCAAAGCTAAAATAAATTAAAAATCAAAATAATTCACAATTAAATGAAAATACATAATAATAAATTTATAAATATAATGAAAAAATTAATAAAAATAAGATTAATAAACTTGCACTTCCAAAGAGCTAATACTAAAAAAAGTTTTAAATAAACCAGAAATATATAATATTTATGGTTAAACTAGTGATAGTGATAGTAAAAAGTTGATTTAAATGCAATATGGAAAAAGCTTAACTAGATTAAAATATTCTTAATAACTTATAGAATTTTTGGAATATGAATCGAAGAAAATCAAGAAATAAAACAATGTAATATCTGAAGTAAAAATAAATGAATTGATAGATATAAATTTTAAATAATTAGCACAAAATACAATAAATCTGATATTGAAACTTATTCCTTATTTCAAAGAAGGAAACGCAATTGTTAATGATAGAGATAAATTTGATATCATTATTTAAAAATTAGTTGATGAAGTTAATAAATCTAAGAATATTTTTTTATAAATTTATACTTATATCATGGTTGGTAAAGTATGTAAATTTAATAAAAACTATGCAAAAGCAATAGAATTTTTCAAATAATCTAAAAATCTAGTAGTTATTCCTTTTTTGTATAACTTTAGACTTATTTGTTATAAAAATATTGGATTTTGTTTTTCTTAACTTAAACAAAATGATTTGTCCATGTATTATTACATAAAAATGCTAAGAGTTGCTTGGTTTATAAATTAAAAGGAATAAGAATTAAAAGCATACGATTTAATCGGAATATAATATTATTATAAAGGATAACTTGAAACTGCTCTTTATTATCATAATAAAATGATTAAAGGAAAAAGTGAACCTGACTCTTCAGATTAGAAAAGATTAGGAATTTAAAAAGTGGTCACTTAACTTAAAAGAATGGAAGAAGAAAACACTAAATAATATAAAATGTTAAAAAAAATTAAGCAATAAAATACTAATGACATTGATTAATTCTTTGTTTCTTCTGAAAGTGAAGATGATTTTGAGCTTTTTATGAATCCAAAAGATGTAAATGCTTACAATAGTGAAGAAAAAAATAATGAAATAAATTAAAAAAAAGAAAAACACAATCATTATTTCATTCATAATTACGATAAAAATTTACTTAAAAATTCCATTTAGAAAGGTAATGATAATATACATATTGCCTATAGGTAATAATAATAAAAATTTTAATTAAGAACATATTAACCCGCTTTGAAAAAAATTATAAGTGCAAGTTGTTTTAAAAACTCCAAAAATTCAATAAAAGTTCCTTATAGGCTCAATCATTTAAGTGTAAACAGAGAATTAGAAAATTACTAATCTTTAGATCAGAAAATAATAAACCATAATAGTAATTAATATAATGATTAGATGTATGATTAATTTGATATATAAACTAAGAAATGTATTCAATATGCTTTCAAAAAATATAAAGATAATTTGTTTCTTACACTATCTTAATTAAATTAAATTACGTGTGATAACAAAGATAATGATAACAATAAAAGAAAATTTGGTTTTTGTATTATTAATGAATAAGAAAACGAGAAATTAAAAAATATAAAATTAAATTTAAATTGAAATATACTACTCTATAAAATATGTATTTGTGTATTTTTTAATATTACTAATTTATTAAAGTTTGCATTTATATCAAAGATTATATATTTATATTATGTTTTTTTTACAAATTAAATAAAATCTTTTAATTATAATAAAAAAAAATCAATTAAATCTTAAAACCATTACAGAAGTATTATCCCTTGAACCATTATCCAGTGCATATTTAAGCAATTTTTTTGCCATTTCTGCGGTATCATTAATATTTTTACATAAATCAACTGCTTTCTAAAATTAAATAAAATAAAATAAAATAGAATAATTAAAAAAATAAATCACCTAATCATCACATACATCCCATAAGCCATCAGATGCTAAAATTAAATATTGTGTTTTTTAGCTTACAACAAATTCTTCTGTATCAGGAACATTTAAAACGCCTTCTGTTTTTAAATCTAAATCCCCTAAAGCTCTTGTAATAGCTAAACTACCTGAAACTCTGCCTCTAATAATAATCCCTCCCATTTCTCTTTTTTTATTTTTTCAATGTTTATAAAAAAATATAATAAAAATTACTTAATTCTTTTTATTTCTTATTCGTTAACAGCTTTATGATCAGTAGAAACTCTTATTGCTTTATCATTTTCGCAAAGTACAGCTCTAGTATCACCTAAATTAGCCACATAACATTTGGTTACATCTTTATTTAATATTTAAATACAACTTTTTATATTAAAAAAATACTATTCGCTTCTTTTCGAACTAACGCTAGACATACACAAGCTCCTTAATCACTTGCACCAACTAATCTTAATTAATCATCTGTTTTTTTCATAACTGTTTTAAATAATTCTTTAGCATCAATATTTTTTTTATATTCTTTCTTAAATATCTTTTTATTTTTATTTTAAAACACTTTTCTATTTTTTTTTATAATATTACATCAGGTATGAACTAAGTACAACTTTCTACTACTTCTCCTCCTCCATGGCCATCTAAAACTGCATACAAACCTAATTCATTATCTTTAAACGGATTATCAAGTATAAAATATGCTTCTTTAATTTTTATATATTTTTTGTTTAGTGCTTAATTTGGAGTTATATATTACCATCTTCCATTGTAAAGCGTGAAGGATAATTTTAATCTTATACATAAGAATATTCCTTTATAATTTTTGAGCTTGCATTCAAAACATTGTTAGAATTATTTGATTGCATTCTTTATTTAATATATTTTTTATTATCTTTAAAGCTAGTTTTTTATTATTTAATTTATTAATAATAAATGTTATAAAATAAAAAAATTATAAAAATTAATATAATAAATTCAACAAAAATATTTTATTTATAAATAAAAGATTTATATTTAAAAAAAAAAATTAGTTATTTATTATTAATATAAATTAAATCATTTTTATATTTATTATATGAAATACAAAAGTTATTTTTAAAATTAATTATTTGTAAAATAAAATAATGATAATTAAAAGTTTATATTTAGTAACAAATATTATGTTTATAATTATATTTGTATAAATATATATTTTATATCGATATTATTAACATATTTAATTGAAGGTAAAAAAAACTTTTATGTTGAGTTTTTATTAAAGCCTAAAAAATATATTCAATTAAAAATATATTTATTTTTAATATACTAGTCAATTTAAGAATATGTATAAAATAACAAAAAAACTAAACCTGAATTTTTTAAAAAATACAAAATTATATAATAATTGAAAAATAACCTACATAATAAACACAATATTAATTATTAATGAATAAAAATAAAAAGAATATTAATTAAAATTTTATTTAATTAAATAATATCTTTTTTAAAAAAAATCATTATTATTTAAATTATTATTTAATCCAATTTATATCTACTGAACTAGGACGTTCTATAGGTAAACCAAAAGCTCTTGACCAAACTAAATTAGCCATACATCCAAGTGCTCTTGATACAGCAAAAATTACAGTATAATAACTATATTCTTTAAGTCCTAATGAATATAGCAAAACTCCACTATGGCAATCTACATTAGGATAAGGGTTAGCAATCTTTTTATAAGATTTCAATTTATTAGGAATAACTTCAGCACATTAATGTAAAAGTTTTACGAATTTATCATCTTTTAAATGGAATTTCGAAAAATCAACTTAATGAGTAAATCTAGGATCAGTTTATCTTAAAACCGCATGCCCATATCCTTTTTTTGTTAATAAAAGTTAAATATAATTTTAAAAATAAGTAAATACCTGGTACAACTCTCCCACTATTAACAATTTTATCAACATAGTCTTCAATATCTTTATTACTAACAGTAGTTCCTTTTTCTGCCACAAAATCAAGCATCCATCTTAAAACCTCTTAATTGGCTAATCCATGTAAAGGTCCAGCCAAACCATTAATACCCGATGCATAAGAAAGATAAGCATCGGAAAGGGCAGAGCCAATCAAATGAGTAGTATGGGCGGAAACATTTCCTCCTTCGTGATCACAATGAATAGATAAATAACCTCTAATACATTCTTAGACAATTTTATTATCAAATCCCATCATATGAGCATAATTTCCTGCCCAATCAAGTTTATCATCACTTTCAATTAGAATAGAATTCTAAAAATATATAATGTATATTATTTTTTTTAATTTACATTAAATTTATGTCTATAAATAATAGCAGCTAAACGAGGAATTTTCGCGATTAACTCCATAGCATCTTCATAAAAAGGATCCCAAAAATCTTTCTTCGAAACTTATCCTTTATCATATAGATGAGCAAATTTAGAATATTTTTAACATTATAAAATTGCCATTGAAAGCATTGTCATAGAGTGGAGATCTTTAGGTAATTTAAGAATAAACTAAACTATAGAATCTTCTATCTTTCCTCTTTATTACCATTCTCTTTCTAATGCTTTTACTTATTCATGTGTAGGTATTTAGCTTGTCATTAATAACCAAAAAATTCCTTCAGGAAGAGGTTCTTAATTCAATTAATCGGCAGCTGTAGGATCATTTTTGGGAAGTAATTTTTTTAATTAAGGAATCGAATATCCTCTGAAAATAATACCATCATATGGATCGCAACGAGAAAGATCACTCATTAAACATTTGATTCCTCTCATTCCTCCTATCAGTTATTTTACATTGAATTCACCTATGTTTTTAGTACCATATTTTTCTCTAATTTCTCTTAACTCTTCTTATTTTTGGGGAATTAAATCTTTTAAAACTTATTTTAAATTTGTTGAATTCCCAAATTATAATTATTATTTCAAATTTAAATTTTTCTTTATAAATAGTCTATGGATTTTTTACATTTTTTATATTTTTATTGATATTTTTTTTTTTTCCTTTCCCTATTTATTTTTATTTACTTTTTTAAAAATGCTATATTTATAATATAAATTTATTTGTTTAAAAATATAATAAAATAAAAAAATAACTTTAATTTCATTATAAAATTTACTTGTTTTTTATAATTGAATAATAATAATATTTTTATATTTACATATAAAAAAAGAAATATTAATATAAAAAAATTAATTATATAAATTATTTTATAATTTTATTATTATAATGAAACGAAACTACTTATTATCAATCATACATAAGCTTAAATCCAATATCTTTTTCTGTTTCATTAACTTTATTTTCTAAGACTAATGTGTTTTACTAAAGGCGTATTCTATCTTAAGTAAGTTAATTAACTTGCTATTTCAAATAAGCAAAATCATTATCTTAAATAATGTTTTATTTCTTGAATTCTTTTGCTAGTCTTACAGTTTCGTCCATTACAAAATTGCTTAATTCACTACTTGTTTCATTATTTTAATTACCAATACAAACTATTTCATTTTTAATTATTTTCATATATTTTTTACTATCTTCTAAATCCAATATTAACATTTCTAATCTCATCTAAAAAAATTATTATAAGATAAAATATTTTTTTCAATGTTTTTTTAAAAATATAATACGTCTAATTTATCTAAATGATTTTTTATTGGAAGTTTAAACAAAGCTTATTTTTCCTCTTAACTTTATCTTATATCAAATTTTTAATATTAAAGTTCGTTATAATCATATGAATTATCATTCATTTTTTTTTTCTGATATTAAAATAAAAATATTGTAAAATAAAATACTTTAATTTAAAATTATAAAAAATATTTATTTTTTTAATAAAATTAAAAAAAACTACTAAAATTAAACATAGCTAATATTAAAAAGGAATGAATCAATTATTAATAGAACGCCAAAATTTACCAATATACAAACACAAAAATGAATTAATAAAAAAAATCAAACAAAATCAAATCACAATTATAGCAGGGGAAACCGGTTGTGGTAAAACCACATAAATCCCATAATATATACTAGAAGAATAAATCAACCAAAATAAAATGATTGCTGTTACATAACCAAGGCGAGTTGCAGCAATTACAATAGCTTAAAGAGTTTCTTAAGAAGCTAATACTAAATGTGGTCAATTAGTAGGATATAGTGTAAGATTTGAAGAAGCTTTAAATAAAGAAAAGACAAAAATTCTTTATATGACAGATGGTATGTTGCTAAGAGAAAGTATTATAGATAATAAGTTAAATAGATTTTCTGTAGTTATAATTGATGAAGCACATGAAAGAACTATAAATACAGACTTATTAATGTAAATATATTATTATTTAATAATGCTTATTTTATTTATATTGAAAAGATCATTATTAAAAAAATTAGCTGAAATTAGAAAAAATAATTTTAAAATAATAATTATGTCAGCCACTATAGATACAAGCCAATTTTCTATTTTTTTTAATACTGATAATGTATATATTTTTATTTTAATTTCATAATTTATTTTTAAAAAAGATAGTTTATTTGTAAGGCAGATGTTTTCCAATAGAAGTATTTTATACAAAAAAACCTTAAGCTGATTATCTAGATTCTGCTTTAAATACAATTCTTTAAATTCATTTTGAAGAAGAATAGGGGGATATTTTAGTTTTTTTAGTTGGTTAGGATGATATAGAAGATTTATATGAAATGTTAAAAGAAAAAATGTAGTAATTTCCTCTAAATTCATAATATCTTTCTATATTTTGTTTATATGCTGCCCTTCCTGCCCATAAGCAGTTAGAAGCGTTTTAGAAATGTGAGTAAGGATATCGAAAAGTAATACTAGCTACAAATATAGCAGAAACTTCTGTTACAATTGACGGAATAAAATACGTAATAGATCCAGGATTAGTCAAAACAAGAAAATATAATCCTAATAAAATGATGGAAATGCTTTTTGTTGTTCCTATTTCTAAATCTTCTTCATTATAAAGGGCAGGAAGGGCTGGAAGATAAACATAAGGAAAATGCTTTAGACTTTATAGTAAAAATACATATGATACTTTAGCTGAATTTATGCCTCCAGTAAATTTTTTTTTTTAAATAAAAAAAAAAATTCTAAAAAGGAAATTTTAAGATCAAATTTATAAACTGTAATCTTATAAATGAAAGCTATGAATATTTAAAATGTAAAAGAATTTGAATTTATTGATAAACCAGCAGCTAATAATTTTAGTTTAGCGCTTTAAAGTTTAAAATAAATGAATGCACTTGATGAAAATGTACTTTTATTTTCATTAACAAATAATATAAATATATATTTTAAAGGAAAAAATTACATAGCATGGTAAAGACATGTCAGAACTACCGTTAGAACCTGTTTATTCTAATTTTATGCTTTCTACAATATAAATTAATAGTAAGTGTATAAGTACTGTTTTATCTGCAATAAGTATGATGTAAGTTGAGAATATAATTTTTATACCTAGAGGTGAAAAGAAAACTATTTTTGATATTTTGAATAGATTTTAATAAGGGAATAGTGATTAACTTACAAAAGTTAATATAATGCATTAATATTATTTAGCAAAAAATAAAAAAAGTTTTTGTAAAGAAAACTTTATTAATAAAAAAAATATTAAGAAAGTTTTTTAAATAAGAGATTAATTGGAAAAATACTTAAAAAATATTTTTAATAAAAAAACTAGTGTTTAATATAATACTAGTGTATTATAATAAATAGAAGTTGAAGCTTTTTCTTAGTGTATTTCAAAAGGTTTATCTGTAAAAATAGCTAAAGTAAATAATGATGGTTCATATACAATTTTAGTAATTTTTTTATTTAAAATTATATTTTCATTTATTTTATTTTATTTTATCTAAAATAATTTATAGTAAAGCAATATAACTGCATATTTACATCCTGAAAGTCTTCTTTTTTATCTAAAACCGAAACCTTAGTATATAGTATTTAATGAAGTTGTATAAACAGCTAAAATTTATTTAAGGGATGTTACTGAAATTAGTTATAATGATTTTAAAAAAGCAACAACATAAAATTGATTTTTTTTATATAAAATATACATTTATTTGTATTTAGTAATTTTTAGTTTTTTATTTTATATTTTATTTAAGAGTAATTAATTTATATATTAAAAATTTATAATTATTTTAAATAAAAATATAATTCACATATAAATTAAACTTATAAAAAATATATAAACATAGAATATAATTATGTTTAAAAATTTATAATAAAATAATAAGTATACAATATATTAAAAAATTATATATATGAAATATATATAATAATTTATAAATTTTCTATTAAATAAATAAAATCAACAACAAAAGCAAGATTTTTCCTCATTATTTTTATTTTAAGTGCTATTCTAGCATTGATTTTCAGAGTTTTAATTTGGAATTAAATTTTGTTTTATAATAGTTCCTTTATTATATGCTTCAAGACAATCATTTTTAATTTCATCTGCAATAATACTTTTTGATTTGCTTATACAGCTTTTATTTTCTTATGAATTAACAAAACTTTTATCTTTATTGTCCAAATATATTAAATATTCAAGAACATTATCAGGATTATGGCTTTAGGCTTGCTAAAAATGAGGTAAATTTTTTATAGATTCAGAATAAATGAGTTTTTTCTTACTTTATAATAGTGAAGTAAGCTATCTATCTTTAGCATCCAGGGTTTCTGAGGTTATCTCTAATTCTGTTTTTTTATTTCTTAATTTTATTTTTAATTCATTTAATTCTTCCTCCTCTTATAATTAAGTAAACTTTTTTTATTTTTATATATGTTATATTTATATAAGTTTTTATTTTCTTAATTAAATTTCTTCTTATTTTTGGAGTAAAATTTATTTTAATTAGTTTATTTCTATATTTTAATCTTTTTTTTAGATATTTGATAATTCTTAAATTTATAGTTATTTTTAGTCCATTTTAATCAATTCATTCTCTACTTTTTTTATATTTTTTAATAAACATGTAATATATTCCTTCATAGTTTGTAGTAATTTTTATTTTCTTTTCTCTCCTTTTATATTTTTTAATTTTAAAAAACATAAATCACAAACTCTTTAGTCATTAACCCTCTTATTAGAACAATCATCACAAATAGTGTGAGCACATAATCTACAATGATGATCTCTTATATTTAGTTTGTTAAAGTATATATTACAAATGAAACATTATTTCTCATTTTTAAAATCCTATTCTTTTATAAATTTAATGTTTTTTTAATCAATTTTATAGATTCTTCTTATTAATCTGACATGATTATATTTGTATTTAAATTTATCTTCTAGATTTTTATTTATCTTTATATATATTTTTATAATAATTTATTTAATTATTAATAGATGTATATAGTATTTAAAAATATTACTATTTTTAATTTAATGTTAAATTTCATACTAATTATATATAAATAAAAATATATATTATTTTTTTTACTTTTACAATATATAAAATTATGTATAAATTATAGTTTTAAATGTATAAAAGTTAAATAATTTTATTTATATAGACTATTTTACAAATTTCATATTAGAAAAACATAAAAACTTTTTAAAAATTATTATTATTTTTTAATTTTATATTGTTAAAAAAATAAATTATTGTTAAATATGCTTTAAATAAGATAATTTAAATTATATATAAATATTAAAATTTTTCCGATAATAAAACAATCATAAATAAAATTTACTATTATCACACTTATTATCAAGTATTTTTTCTTAAATATTAATTCCTACCATTCTAGCAATTTTTCTAGCATACTAAATAGGAGCTGGAACTTTAATCGCTCCTGGCCAATTAGCATAGTTAAAACATTAACTATGTAGTAATTCCTGTATAGTTTCTTATGAAAATTCGTATTGTCATATATTACTTTATAATGAACTGGAGATGTAGTTCCAATTTTGACATTATCTGAAACCATATAAAAATCATAATAATTTTGCTAGTAATATTTCCATCTATAATAGTGCCACAAGGCGGATTATATGTAGTTTATTCATTTTTAACGAAGCATTTTAGATCATGATTATAATCTAAAATAATGGCGCAAAGTTTAGCTTTATAATTAGGATTAATTAGAGTAAAAGTTTAAAGTATAATTTAGATTTCAGTTTCTAAATAATTAGGTATATCATCATTTTTTATACCTTCTCTTAAATAAAGAATATTTTCAGGAACATATTTATTATTTAAAAAATATTATCTAATTGATTCTTCGATAAGTTTTCTTATGTCTTCAATTTATTTTTTATTTCCTTTCTAAAAAACAGCTTTGTTAAAAAACTTACTCATATACTCATCTTATGAGGCTACAAAACCCGCTACATATTATTCTTATCCATTAATTATTATTTTTTACACATGTGTGCCTATAATCATAGTTTTATCTGGTACACCTTTAGGCGGATTTGAAATCCATAAAGTAGCACCGCATTTAGCAGCCATTTAAGCTAATATATTGCAATGGATACTAAATGAATTTGGAGATTCTAAGGTTTATTATTTAATAAATTGAGTATTTTATTTATAATTAATTTGTGCATATTTCTTTATTTTTTAATAGTTTAATGTCGTACATAATTTTGTTGGAGCTATAATTACTACAATATCAAACTTTCACGTTTTACTTCTCGTTTAATACGTGCTCTATTTCAGACATAGCTTTACTATTAAATTCATTTAAATTAAATTCTATTGGTTTCTTTAATTCTATTTTAATTCCTTTTGAATTTTAAACCAATTCTTTTTTTTAAAAAAAAATAAATAATTTTTTTATATTTTTATTTTTAGTTACATTTAGTAAATCTCTTATATTAAATTCATCAAAATATATTATTGCAGTTTAAAATTGATGTTAATTATTTTAATATATGGGATATTTCATTTAAAATTTACTTACTAAATTATCATCTAATAAAATTCTTGGTGACTCTTTAGTATTTTATCCAAATATAATTGTTGGAAAAATCATTTATTTTGCATTAACTAAATAGGGTAAAGTAGAAATTTTAATATGCAATTATTATTCAATATTTTGCAAACTTAAACAATCTTCATTTTTTTTAATATTATTTATAAAATTATTTAGGTTTTCAAAAGATTAGTGAGGATCAACTTTTATAATTTTTTCTATTTATTTTTTCATTTTTTCATTAATTTCCTCAAGAAAATCAACTAAAACACAAAGTTCAGGTATTAAGTAAATATTATTTTATTATTTTTTATCAAAAACTAGTAGAAGTGGTTATTTTTCGAATTTTATTTTTAATCCATATTTTTAAATATAATATTCATATAATGCTTGCTAATCTTAATCATTTTATTATTAAATATCGAAGTTTTAATTTTATTCTTAAGCTAACTCATTTAATTTTATTTCTTTTATATTTTTATCAAATACTATATCTTTAACTTTATATTGTATAAACTTTCCATAATTAGTCATTACAAGCACATCTTTTAATTTTTATTAAACAATTTTTCTTTTATCTTCTTTATTTAATCCCTGATTATTCTTATATATTTAATTTATATAACTTAATATGTTTTCCTATCTTGCAAAAGTATAAAATTATCCTACTTTTAAAAATAAACCATCTTTAGCGTTTTCTATAGGGACATTCCAACCTTTGTAAACCATAAGGTTGGTTTCTGGTATTTTTTAGTACTCATCTTATGGTTCGAAGTATTTATTTTTTTATCCAAATTAATATAAATTTTAATTCTTTAATATATTTTTTAGTAAAATATTTAAATAATTGAGAATATTTTCAGAGTAAAATTGATTTTCTTTATTTAAATCTTATAAATTTAATTCCTTAATATTTTTTTAAAAAATAAGAAATTATATATAAGATTAATAAAATGAAAATATATATTAATTAATATAACTTAAATAATTTTTAAATAAATAGCATATTCCTGATTAGCAAAATTGGTTGTGAGTTTAAAGTTTGAAATAAAATTAGGTTAATTACAAGTAAATAAATATTAAGAAAATATAATATATTAAGTCCCTAATTATTCATTTAGCTGTTTTTAGAATTAACCAAATAATTTATTTAACAAAACTTTATTATCTTATTCAATTTTAGGAATAAAATCAGCCTTTATTAAATATAAATTTTAAATATCTTTATTTATGTCTATTTTGAAGAAATTAGTATATATTTAAATTTAATTGCCATTTATTTTATCTTTATTTTCGAGATTATCTGGATGTTTATGCATCTATATTAATGTATTTTTAATGTCATTTGTTTGATTATTTATTATATTTTAAAAAATTACTTTTGAAATGTAATTAGAACTTTATTACATTTTTATTTTTATTTTTATATTTGTTTGTATTGTAATTAAATATCTTTTTTTTGGAAATAATTTATTAAATTTTAATTTTAAAAAATTACATATAAAATAATAATTTTTTTTATTTAAAAAATATTGTTTATAATTTATATATTTATAAAAATATATTCTTTGATTATAAATTAAATAGAAAGATTTTTTCGTTTTATGATAACAAATTTATAATATCTTATTATCAAAAAAAAATATATATATAGACAGTTTTTCTTTTTATGATAACATTTTGTTAATAAAGCCTATGCTTGAACTTAAAAAAAGTTATTAGCTTTTTCAAATTCTTCATTATTTAAAGTTTTACTTTAAATTTTTTAATTTTTTTAGTGATTTTTTTATTTATCTTTTTAAAAATAGTTATTTGCTTATAATTATATAAACTTGAGTCTATTTTTTCTTAATTACTAATCCAGATATTTATAATTAATAGTTTTTATTTTATTTTTATAATATCTTATAAATTATATTATAATATAAATTCTTCGGTTCTCATAATTCTATCACAAATTAAGTTATTATTAGAAATGCTTAATTATACTTATTATATCCAAAATTATATATTCCTTTATTTATTTTAATAAATTTGATTGGAATTAATTTTCTTCTTAATTCATGAAATTTTATATCCACTTAATCACATTATTTTTTTAAAAATATTTCTTAAAGATTATAATTTTATTATAAATAAATATATTTTTATATTAAATCTTGCAATATTTATTTATGTTTTTTTAGTATTCATATATATTAATTATTGAGTTAAACTCATATATTCGCTTGTTTTTTGTACCAAATCTTCGCTTACTATGTATAAATCATATTAAGTTTATTTAAAATTTTATTATGATTATTTCAAAATTTCTTTTAAAATTTATTCATTGTCCTATATTTTTTTTAAAAAAATAATTGATTTATTTATCATTTTACAATTTTATTTAATTTACTAGTTAGAATTTTTTCGAAGATTGATCTTACAGAAGTATATTTTTTTCTTGAATTTTTAATCGTATTTTTTTTAATATAAATATTTCTTAAGTCTGGTTTATTTATATTTATTTTTAAGTACTAAATTTTCATATTTTTTTTGTGAGAAATTTTCTAATAATTAATTTCAACTGCTTTTCTATATTAATTTTTCATTATCACTTTCTTGTTAGTTATTTCGTATTAATCACTTGTATTCGTTATTCTATCTATTACTTCTTAATGTTAATGTATGATTATCCTTATTAAGCATATTAATGAGTTAAAATTATCCTACTTTCAATAGTTGATTAAGTTATAATTTCTTTTAAATCTTCAATTTATTTTATTTTATTTAAATCAGAATTAACACAAGGCTATCTTATTATATAAAGCGAATTATTACATGATTTTTATTCTAATTACTTAATTTTTCTTATCATAAATTATTTATACTCATTAATGTCTTTATTTAATAATTAAATAAATTGAATTTTTCTTTATAAAGATCATTTTATTCATCAATGCATTAATTTACTATTTTAAAAGAATATAAATTTATAAGGAAAAATTATATTTTAATACCAAAAATCAATTAAAGAATACTCATTTTTTTTTTAAAAAAAAAGATGCTATTCCTATTTAGTAGATATTTATTTTAATTAAATTTTAAAATTTAACTTTCCTATGAAAAAAGTTTGAAGCTAGGTTTGTTTTAAGTATCTGAAAGTATAAATAAATCATAATACTTATTTTATTTATTATATTTATAGAATAATATTATATGGAATAATACTAATTTAATTAATTAATTGTCTTAAAGTTTAAATTCAAATATTGAAATAAGTAAATAATATATTAGTATAATATTCTAGTATATATTATTAAATTATTATTTATTTATTAAATTATTTTTAGAAATTAAATCATTTAATTTTGATTTTATATAATTTAAAATTCTTTTTTTATATTATAATATATAATAATTATTTTATATAATTTAATTTTTTAAAATAATATATTTCATTTTTCTTTTTTAATTCTAATAAAAAAAGATTTATTTTTATAATCATATTTTTATATTAAAAATATATTAATTAAAAAAATATTTGTCAAAGAAAATGATAAATAATTTAATCGAATAATAAAAAATAAACGATAACTTCACTCTATTTGATAAATATGTTTTAGAAACTTTATATTCATAAAAAAGATAATCATAATTATTTCATATTGACTGTAAATTTACTAGAAAAAGAATTTGTTATTGCAATTTAACTAATATTTATTTATTAAATTAAAATCATCTGAACAAGCATGAAAGAATATCGAAATACTTAAAAGTTGTATATAATGGAGCAAATGATTATGATTTAAAACAGGCTTATATAACAGTACTTAAAATATATTAATTACTTCTTATAAAATAATTATTTTTATTTTTTCATTTTTTAAAGAACCAAATATAGATAGAAAAAATTAAAAATTTATAGGAAAAAAAAGATATATTGCATATAGCACCAAAATATAATGAGATAATTTTAAAAGAAAAGGAAAAAGAAAGATTAAATATAAGAAATCAAATAGCCTTAGATTAAATAAATAAAGTAATAACCGGAGAATGCTATTATTGCAAAAATTTATACGCTAACAAATATTATGAAATTAATATTGTAAGAATATAATAAAATTCTATTATATAATATTATTTTTTTATTTTTATTTTAAATATAATAAATCAATAAAATTATAGAATTAAGCTGAATTAATAACTGCTTGTGAAGATTGTGCAATCGCAGATCACCCAAAATAATTTGGTGTAAAGTAATAAAAAAAAAATTAACATATTAATATTTGATAATAAAATTTATATAGTAAAGATAAGTAGAAAATTTAACCAAAAGATAAACTTTAAATAAAATAGAAAAGATAAGAAGCATAAAAAAAAAGATTAGAAACTATAAAAGCCAAGAAACTGTAAAAAACTGGACAAAGAAAAACAAATAATTCTGAAAGTTAAGAGAGATAATCAAATAAATAAAAAGATTAATAATAGAATCTAAATGAAAATGAAAATAATGTTGAATAAAAAATACAAAAATAATATTAAAATTAAAAAAAGATAAATTAAGAAAATTAGGAAGAAGTTTAACCAGAAGAAATGGAAGATGATGATGAAGATGAAGATGTAGATGGAGATGAAGATGATGAAGAAGAAAATGGAGAAGATGAAGAAGAAGAGGAAGAAGAAGTAGAGGAAGAAGAAGAAAGCTTTTAAACTGAATAAACAAAAGAGTGTAATTGGGATAATTGCAAAAAAAAAGATAAATCAGATCCGAAAGATATTTTAATATGTAAAGGATGCTAAAAAAGTTTTCATACCGAATGTTGTGATCCTCCTTTGGAAAAAAACATTGTAAGAAAATATGATTGGTTTTGTACTGAATGTAAACTATGCTTAATATGCAAAAAGAATACAAATGTAATTTTATGAAAAATATTTTTTTTTATTCAAAAAAAAAAAAAAGGAAAACGAACTACTTATATGTGATTGTTGTGATAGACCTTTTCATATGAGTTGTATTGAACCAAATAGAACCTAAATTCCTGAAGAAAGATGGTTTTGTAATAACTGTAATAATTGTCTATCCTGCGGTGTATTTCTATTTTAAAATTATTCGAATGAAATTTTGAAAAAGTATTCTTAATAATTAGTTAATGAAAGAATTATTTGTAATGATTGTTGGATTTATTATTAGAATGTATATTTTTAAAAAAATATTGTTTATTTAAATTTTATTATAAAGAAAAAATATTGCCCAGCTTGTAATAAAATAATTGAAGAAAATGCAGAAGGAGATTTTGTTTATTGTGATAAATGCAAATTATGTAATAATTTATAATAATAATTAATTATCGATTTTTTTTAATAGGGTTACATTTTGAATGTGAAAATAAATTAAGTGGAAAATCTATAAAAGAGATTAGAAAGATTAAATAATTTTAATGTAGTAAATGTAAGAATTAGAAAGATTCTAAAAAATGATTAAAATTAATAATTTAAAGAAATATATATAAATTTATTATAATTTTTATTTAATCTTATAAAAAAATAGCATAAGATTTTTTCTCAATATAAATAAATAATTTACTTTTATTTCTAAATTATAATAATTTAAGTTTTTTTAGATTATTTTAATTAATTTATCTTATATTTAATAATAGTTTTAATTTACTTATTTTATATATAAGCATTATATATACTAACAGTAAAAGAAATATCTGTTATTTTAAATATTGTTTAATATATCAATATAATAGTTCTTGCTATGATTAAATAATTTTTTATCATTTATTATTAATATTTTATTTTAATCTTTTTATTTTTAATAATGATTTAAATTTAATTTATTTAAATAAAGTTTAAAAAATATTTTTTCTATTTTCTTAATAAAAATGATCTAAATATTAATTTTTTATATTTTAAATTTAATTATTTGAAAAATTAAAAGATTATTCAATCAATAATGATTTACTTTCAATATTTATTATTCTTATATCTTAGAATTATATAGATTACAAGAAAATATTTATAAATAATGTTTATTCTAAAAATAAAATTAAATATAAATATGTATATAAATTAATTATATATGTATTTATATATAATTTTTAATTTTAAAAATTTAATGTAAAATTTATATTATTCAAAAAATTATGATTTAATATATTATAATTATTTATGAAATAATTTTTTATCAAATATACTTCTACATTTTTTAATATTAGATATTATATATATAAATTTCTATAAAACATTATTTATTAAAAAAATAAGATAATAATTTTTACTATAGTATATTTTTTAATTAATTAAATTTATAAATAAATTAATAAATTTTATATTTATTTTAAATAAAATGAAATTAATTAAAATAAAATTAAATATTGATAAATAAAATAATAAATGGATATATTATATTTTTAAATGTATTTGAAAAATTATATAAAAAAAGATTTTTAAATTTAATTATTTCTACAAAAATATAGCAATAACAATTTTATTAAAATAAAAAAAAAAGTACTCATAAATATTTATATGTGTTTATTATAAATAAATATAATAAAAAAAATTAAAATAAAAAAAAAATCTATATAAAAAATTTATTTTTTATAAAAAAAATAAAATAAAATTTGTAAAATAATATATATAAATAAATAACAAATATGAATATATATAATTAATAGAAAAAAAAATTATAAATATGATAAAAAAAATATGTATTATTTAATAATATAAATTTATAAAAATAAAAAAAAGAAATAAAATATTTTAAATATATAATATTTTAAAATAAATATAAAATAAAATAAAAATAAAAAGATATATTTAAAAAAAAAAATATAAAAAATAAAATAAATTAATTCAATTAATATATATATATATATATTAAAGATATAAAATTTATATAATAATTTAAAAATAAATAAATATGAAAATATTTTGTTAATAAAAATTTTTATATATATATATATATATATATATATATTATACTTATATATGTATATATATTTTTTAATTTCAATTATATTCTTTTATTTTATATTAAATTTATAATATTATATATATTTTCTTATACTAATATTTTAATATTTTTTTCATATTTTTTTTTTATGTTATTTTTTTTTTAATTTTTTTATAGTAATACATTTTTACTAAATAATATTTTTTAAACTTATTTTGTAATTTGTATATATCATATTTATTTATTATATGTTTACTATACTCATATATTTTTTTTTATTTCATTTTTATATTTTTTTATTTTTAATTTAATTATTATTATTTTGATACAATATCTAAAAGTTATTTTTGCATTTTTTTTTAGTTTATTTTATTTTAATTTATCTTTTTATAGAATTTTCATATATATTTTTTAATTACTATTAAGTTTATTATTGGAATTAATTTATTTTAGTGAATTTAATTATTTTAGTTTTAAAAATTTATTTTTTGTTATAATTTATGCTAATTTTTATTGTAAATTTCTTTGATCTCATTTATTTGTTTAGATAAATATATTTAAATTTTTATTAACTTATACAATTACTTCTTCCTTATTTATGGTTTTCCATTTTTATTAGTCTCATTTTATATTTCAAGATATATAAAACTCATATGTATCTTAATAATTTTTTATATATTAATCAATAGTTATATAACCATATTACTATGTTTTTCAAGTAATTAGAATCTTAAGTAAATATTTATGTTTGTCAATTAGTTCTATATATTTAGGAATGTCTATATTTTAGTATTATTTTGCTGCAACTAGCTGGAATCATAAGGGTGTTCTTCATATTTTTTTTGGTGTATTTATTTCAAGTTCCAAGCTCTGGATTTTAGTTTCTCTATCTAAAATTTCAAATTTTAATTATTAGTTGGTTTAAATATTTTTCTATATTTATTAATTTATTCTTTATTCTAGTCATTTTACCAAAATGTGTTAGTTTATGTTAGAGCTTAGTGATGAATATAGCTATATTTATGTATTTTTTTGATATTTTTTTTTAGTTTATTAAGTCCCTCATTTTCTATTTAGAATCAAATTTTTTGTGCTTTTTTGCATATATTAAAATTTTAGCTATTCTCTTTTGTAAGATTTTAGATTTTTAGATTTCTAAAAAGTTTATTTATATAATTTTATTTGTCATAAATTTGGTAATATTTGAAAAATTAATTCAAAAATTATTTCCATAAATTATACTATTATTAAAAAATATTTTATTTTGTATTTTGTAATTAGAAATAATTAAATATATTATTTATGTACTTTTTAATTATTTTTATTTAAAAATACTTTCAGCATTTAATAAATGATAATTTCGTTTAAAATAAAATATACTGAATTTTAAATATTATTTTTTGATGTTTTTTTAATTAAATGTAAAATAAAAATTTTTAGCATATACATTTTTTTTAAAAAAAAATTGAATTTGAAATTCTTCATATATTTTTATTTATATACTTTATTACTAACATAATATATCATTCTTTTAAATTTTATTTCATTTTATCCTTTTTATATAAATAAATTTATATTTTATTAAATAAATATTTTTTTACCAATTTAACTATACACTCTTAATATAATCCAAGATACAAATCTATTTGTTAATTAACATATTTTTTTAAAAAAAATACTATACTTTTGCATTTATCATCATTAAATCCATATTCTCTTTCACAATAAATAAAATCATCATATTTATTATTACATTCTTCTTCTTATTATAAAACTATAAAGTAAATAAGAATAAAAGTTTGCTAACTTTTTTAAAAAATTACTCTACTATTGGCAATATTATTTATTTCCCATAATATATATATATATGAAAATCCTTTTTTAAAAATTAATATTTTTAAATGATTATATATAATTTATATTAAAATAATTTTAAATATAAAAATAAGTTAAATAATTTTAAATGCTTTTTAAAGCAGTTTTAAAAAATGAAAGATGAAAAATATTTGTATTTATTAAATGCTATTTCTCTTATGGTATACGCTTTATTAAATTGGTGAAATCATAAAGTAAATATAATAAGGTAAAGAAGAAATAGATAATAAATTAAGATAAATAAAATATCAATTAACTTAAAAAAGAGTAAAAAGTTCACTTTCACTTTATACAAATATAGGAAATACTATGTATACTATTATTAATATAAATTTTAATTAAAATATATTTATTTAAAACATAAAAGATAAATTATAATAGATTTATACAGCAAACTATTAAAAAATCATAAGCTTTTTAAACTAATCCTTAATAGTTTGATAATTCAGGCTTTTAGTTTAAGAATTAAAGAAATAAACCTTTTATCAGAAAAATTTTTATTTAAAGAAAATAGTAGCAAATAATTGGATATTAATAATTTATTAATAAATCTAAAAGAAGATAGTATTCTATAAAATCAAAAATTTGAGTTTTCTAGAGAATCTAACATAAATAAGATAGATGATTTTTATTAGGTTTTTTATAATAATATTTTTTTATTTTTTTTTGATTATATTCGATTAAAATATATAATAAGCAAACGTATAATAACTAATAGATAATTTATATTAATTGTGAAAGTTAATCTAAAATGCATTTTTATGACTTATTTCAAATTTATAAAGAAAAGAAAATAAAATAAAATAAAATAAAATAAAATAAAATAAAATAAAATAAAATAGAAAATATAATTTTACAAAAGCAGTTAAAAATTCGTAATAGATGTACATATATTTTTAAAATATATTCTATCTTAAACATGAACTTCATGAACTAGCAAAATAAATCGATAGAAAAGTCTAGGTACACAACAAATATATACAAAGTTAAATAAAATATTTAGTTTTTGAATCATATTTTAGATTTATATTAAATGTAAGAAGGATAATTAAAAAATTACTAATTTAAAAAAAATTGAATTAGCAAAAAATAAAAGATAATTAATAACAAAATGAAAAAATTATTAAATCTATTAGAAAATTGCATAGCTTAAAATAATGAACAATTAAATAACAATAATATTATAAATAAAAGCATTAGTATTTATAATAAAATCAATTAAAGTAATAATAATAGTAATTTTTATATTAATAATTATAGCTATTACAATTTAATAAAATTGCATAATAAAAATTGATTATATATAACTAATTCGTATAATTCTAAATAAATAAAAATTGATTTTGGTAATCTGTATTAGGAAAAAGAAGCAATATAGTAAGATTCAAAAAAGAAAGTAATAGCAATATTAAAGAAATAAGTCTTAGTTTTAAAATTAATAAATATAACATATTAATTATATTTTTAATTAATTTTTTTTATAATAAAAATTATTTTTTAATTTATAATAAGAATTTAAGTGAATTATTTAAAAAAATAATGAAACAATATATTTTTGATAAATATGTTAATGTTAATTTATGTTTAATTTATAATGTTTCTGATTTATTTCTAAAATATTTTTTTATTTATTTTTATAATATTATGAATTTAAATAATTTAGATTAATTATTTAAAATATCTAAATAAATATATTATTTCAATTTAGTTTTGTTCTTTTTTAAACTGAAAAACAATAAATACCCAAATGCTCTGTAATTTATTTGATTACTTTACTTGTATAATCAAAGGAAAAGTAAATTGTTAAACCTGCCAATATTATAAATTATATTAATTAAACATTTGTATCTATAAATTCTTTGAAAAAATAATTAATTAGACAAATTAATTAATAAGGAACAATTTCTGTATGAAACATAGGAAATTTCATCTATTTTTTTAATCAAATAATATTTATAAAAACTGAAACATAAAATATTTTATTATACTCTTGTTAACGAACAAATAATTAATTTGCAAGTTAATAGTGAAACTAGCAATCCAAAAGTTAAAAGAACAATTCCAGCATACTAAGAATAAAATTACTTTTATTAAAATATTGTAATTTCTATAACAATTATAACAATTATAGGAATATATTATAATAAAGCATTTAATTTATTTATTGTAATCTTTAAAATTTAAAATTTTATTATTTATAAAATGATTTTCGTTAATATATTATAATAATTGTATTACTTATCTTCCTTGTTTATCATATTATTATTTAAAAATCGTATTAAAAATACAAGCAATATTAAGAATACTTAAAATAACACACATAGAATATATACAAATTACATAGATTTCTATATCAATTAAAAATCCAATATTTTTTTATTTGAGCATATTTATAGCAAAATTAGGAAGGACATCTCCAAGGTTAGCAAGCCAAAAATCTTATCCTTTCAAAAATGAAATTAATTAAATAGCAATTACTATTAATTCAGTTTCCGTGACTCCAAAATTAGCTACTTATGTATTTAAAACATATGTATGATATTCCATCCAATTTGCAGTAAAAATAGACACTTACACTATCACTAATAAATAAAAAATCTTTTTTAAAAATAATTAAAAATATAAAAATGATAATTTTAAATTAATAATACGTATTAAGGATGCATTTTAACGGCTTAAGCAACGCCTAGAAGGAAAAAAGTGACAGAAAATGAATCGCATCCATGATCAAATAATTATCCTAAAGGGGAAGAAGTGCCTGTTCTCCTTGCTTATTTACCATCTACTGCATCTAATGTTTAATATATAAAACTACAAAAAGCTGCCCATAAGAAAACCCAAGAGGGAAGTTCTCTTGTAAGAGTTACATCATATACTAACATTACTACATATTAGGATACAACAAATGCAAAACCTATGAATGTAACAGTATTTGGTGCAAGGGTCTAGTTATTTTAATATCTATTTATTAAATAATTTTATTATATGTATTACTTTTGGAAGAAGTTCAGAACACCAAAGCCAAAATGGGTTCATTTTTTTGTCTAACCATGAATATTCACCACCAAAATATTTATAATTTTCGAGCTCTTTTAATCCATCTTAATCTATATATGCCATTTTTTACAATTTATTACTTAATATAATTTTTTTTATATTTTAATTTATTTAATTTTATATATATTATAGATTTTTTATTTAATTAAAAATACTTAATTAAAATTAATCCAAAATATATACTTTATCTTATTTTAAAATAAAAAAATATATTTATATTTTAATATTTATATGTTCTTATTTTTTATAATTACAGCTTTGTCTTGAAATAATCTTTAATCTTATATATTGATTTTTTAAATTTTAATAAATAAATAAAAATAATAATAAAAGTTATTTATATATAAAAAAATATAAAATTATTAATTTATTTATATATATATATATATATATATATATTTATGTTATAATCATTTTAAATTTAAATTTAATTTATATTCATATTTATTTTTTTACTTTTACTATTTTTTTTATTATTTAATGATAACACATAATAATTATTAAACTATTTATTTAATAATATTATATTATTTATTATTATTTTTTGTTTTTTTTTTATATATTTATATTTAGTATTTTTAAAATAATTTTTTAAAATAATTTTATTTATAATATTATTTATGAAAATTATTAAAAAAAAAATTTCATATTATATATCTTTTAAATCAAGTAACAATTTTATGCAAATAAAAATATTTTTATAATTTATTTTATAATATAAAATTATAATAATAAAAAGTATATGAATATATATTAATTAAAATTTTCTATATAAACACGATATATCAATTAATACTATATTATATATTTATATATATATTATTATTTATTTAATTTTTGTATTATTTATTTTTATTTAAAATAATTATATTTAATTTCAAGACAAAGGTAAAATTAAATTTCATTTCATTTATTTGTATTGTTTATTATAATTAATAAATATATATTTCTTACTTTTAATAATATAAATATTTGAAAATTATTTATATCTTAATTTCAAATATATATATATTTTTATAAAATTATATAAATACTGAAATATATTTTTAATTTGTTTTCAAAAAATATTTTAATAATTATTTGGATTATTAATTTGATTTATGTTTTTTTGAATTTAATTATTAAATAAAAAAAATATAAAATATTATGAAATAGAATTAAAATAGTATTTCAAAAAAATTTTTGCTTAATCAATGATTTAATATTTAAGTTTAATTAAATTAATAATAATTTCATAAAAATATATAAAAAAATAATTAATATAAAAATTTATTAAAAATAATATAAATATATTTAGTACTGTACTTTAACATAATAATAAATTTATGGAAATAGCTAATAACTTATTTCAGCTCTTAATTAAATATTAATTATCACTTTGTTTATATCATTAAATACATTTATATATTTATAAAACTCTGTTAAACAAATTAAATAATAGATAAACAAACAAATATTTTGTATTTATTCAAATAAAATAATTGTCTTAAAAATAAAATATAATAATTAAAAACTTATCCAATGAAAATTCTCTTTAGTAATAAGCATTAGGTAATTAAAAAAATATATTAAAATTAAAATTTTAATTTCTATTTTTATAAGTTTATTTAAAACTAAAAAACTTTATTCCTTTAAAACATTTTTCTGACTATTGAACAAAGCAATTTTAAATAAAAACATTAAATAACAAAATTTATAACCTAAACAAATAAAATATTTTTATTTCTATCTAAATATCAGATAATAATTGAAAGAAAAGCTAAAAATATGTGCGACAATATTTAACAAATTTACATTTTTCGCAAAAAAATACACATATTTAACACTTGAATTCCGTTTATCAATATTTTTTTTATTTCTCAAACAATACTCTATTTATAAATCACATCATTTTTTTTTATCATAGATGATTTTTTTCTTTTCTTTTTTTCAAAAAATAATCTATTGGGAGTGGAAAGGGGAGATAATGAACCCATAAAAAACTTCGATTTTATTTTTATTAATTCAACATAATAGGATCATCACGTTGGAAAAGGTAATAATAACTTCATATTATCTAATTTTTTTTAAATATATAGATTTTGACAAGAATAATTGCAAATCTGATTTTGAAAACTTTTGTCAATTACAAAAATTTTAATTAATTTTAAAATAGTATTTTTATTATGATAATTATCAAATAAATAAATAAGTAAAAAATATTTATTAATAAATTATAATTTATTAATTTTATAAAAAAAAAATTCTTTAAAAATTTTAAATAATTAAATAATTAAATTACAAATTTCAAAATTAATTGAAGAAAAATAAATATTTAATATAAAAATAAAATAAAAAAAAATAAAAAAAAAATAAGTTATATAGAAAAAATATATAAATATATATATATGTATATATATAATTAATATATTTTTTTATAAATTATATAAATTTATTATATATTAATTTCATAAATAGATTAGAAAGTCTAAATTAATTGTTATTATAAAATAGAAACTATAATTTAAATAAATTTATTAATATTATAAAGAATTCATAAAATTAATTTATATATTTTATATTTATAATTTAAATATCTAATTACCTATACAAAATATTTTAAAAATTTATATAATTAATTAAAATTATAATAAAATAAATTTAAATATATAATATTTGTAATACAAAATTCGAATAAAAATATAGAGGTTATTAATTAAAATAAATTACATAATTTGAACGTAAATATTTTAAGTTAACAATAAATATTTTTAATTTATTTTACGTAACCTATAATAATAGAATTTTAAAATTATATAAGTTTATTTATAAGGAGAATAAATTAATAATAATAAATATATTTAATTAATTATTTAATATAATTAAAAATTTTATATAAAAGTTATAAAAAATATTAAATTTTCTTTAATTTATATTTTAAAATAATAAATATTATGACAATATATAATTAATAAAAAAAAAAATATTTTTTTAAAATATATATATTTTTAATTATATATATATATATAATTATTATTAATTTGATATTATATTATAAAATTATTTTATAAATATATATTTGTATTAATTATATATTAAATAATTTATTTATAATTATTAAAAAAATAATTATATATATTAAGATATATTTTTATATTTAATATTATTTAATTTTAATTTATTATATTTATGATTTTATTTTATTTTGATTTTATTTTTATTTTTATTTTTATTTTTATTTTGATTTTATTTTGATTTTTATTTTGTTTTTATTTTTATTAATATTTTTATTTTTAATTTAATTTTAATTATTTTATTTTTATTTATTTTTTTAATTATTAATTATATATTTATATTTATTTTTATTTTAATTAATTATAAGTATGATTTATGGTTAATGATTTAAAATTTGGGATTTGAACATGGGGTTTGGGGTTTGGGGTTGGGGTTGGGGTTGGGGTTGGGGTTGGGGTTGGGGTTGGGGTTGGGGTTGGGGTTGGGGTTGGGGTTGGGGTTGGGGTTGGGGTTGGGGTTGGGGTTGGGGTTGGGGTTGGGTTGGGGTTGGGGTTGGGGTTGGGGTTGGGGT